TCCAAGCTTTAAAGGAGATAATCAAGCTGCCAAACCGATTGTGTTCAGAACCTTGGGCAGTTTTTGTAAAGTATGGACTAAAGCTCAAGGTAGATTTACCAACCCACTGTACAGCAACATGGTCCAACCTGGTAACCTCAAGATATGTTGGACTATATGCAACTGCCACTCTGGAACAACTGGAACAATTGGCAGCTGGAACAACTTGTGCAGGTGATTCATTCTATCAAAGTATATTGCCATATATTTGTCCACCGCAGTTTCTCTCAAAGCACTGCATTCTTGCAAAATTCAAATATTCACCTCAAATACACTCAAATCATGCAGTCTTCATGATACCTCTGATACTGGTAGTTCAGCCACCCACATATCTACAGGCACGTTTGGAGAAATTTTTGGTTCTCTTGAGATCTCAGAAAGCTGCACCACAATGTTGCAGCCACATTTTGGGTGACTGTCTTTTTCTTTCTGTTTTGGACTGATCCCCAAAACAGGTTTTTTTATAGTCAAATATTCTCCCAGGGTGTAGGTTTTGGGGCTGAAATCCTTTGTTTATATCTGAAATAAAGGGTGCCTGAAGTGGTCAGGAGGTCCTAGAGCAGGCATGGGTAAACTAAGACACGGGAGCCAGATGCGGTCCCCTGGGTGCTTACCTCAGCCCCTCCTCATTTTCCCTGTCATCTTGGCAGAAATATATGGCAGCCTGTTACATCCTTATGCCAAAAATATGGGAAGGCACATTGCAACTGAAAGTCCTCTGGAGTGCTCTCAGCCACAGTGTCTTGAACTCCTCCCTGCATAAGGACAACGTGAGTGGCCCCATCCTTATGCCAGAAGGATGGCTCAAAGAAGGCATGTGGCAGCTAAGAGCCCTCTGGAGCAGTCTCAGCTGCTGCCTGTCTTGCCCTCCTCCTGGCATGATGTCAAAAGGACAACCTGAGGATCGGGGAGATTGGGGCAGTCGTCACATGTCCCACCTTCCTCACGGCATAAGGATAGGGCAAGCAACCCCATTCTTATGCTGGGAGGACAACCTGAGGATGACCCAGACCCTGCCTTGGCCCCTCCTGGTCCCGCCCTTGCCACCTTCCAGGTTCACAGCCACCCAGCATGTGCCTGCCCACTTCCTGGACCTTCCTAGGTCCTGGCCCAGCCCTGTCAGCCAGGCACACAATGCAGCCCCAAACAAAAAGGTTTGCCAATGCCTGACCTAGAGGCTACATTGGATCCTCAAAGGGCCATATAGCACCATATACTGAATGATTCCCATCTGAATGTATCAAACATTTCTTCTTCTTTCAGGTCATTTATGTTTCCATCTCCATCTCCTAAAAAGTTTCTTGCTACACTAGTGCAGCTTCTCTTTGGAAACCATCATTCTTTGCCCTGCTTTGGTCTTTCTTCAAAACAAATGTGCTGGGAGCTGAGATGGAGGCTCTACTTTCCCATGGTAAATGAAGGAAGAAAAGGGGAAGGCATAGCATTTTGCTAAACACGATAGCCCAAATTTCAGTCTCAACAAAAGCCTTTGCCATCATTAAATCAGTCACTAAAAGGAACTGAGCCTTAAGTACAAGTGACATATCCCAGAGGAGAGGTTTTCAATTACCTTCCTAGGTTCTATGTGTTCTCACCTTACATTCTTCTAAATTTAAACAAACAGGGAAGAGAAAGTAAGAGAGAGAAATAGAGAGAGAAAGCTAGCGCCTAGCCAAACGCTTGCTTACCCAGCAATTACAATTAAAATGAGAAGAGCCTTGGTCATGGGTCACTTTTCCATTGTTTACCAGGAAACAAGGCAGGCTCCCACTGGAACTAGCAGAAGGGTCAACCTGAAAATATCTCCTCCTGCTCTTCCCAGAGTAATGGGTACAGATTCCCAGGCATAATAAAGGCAGTCCATCCCTGCTTGCTGCATCTGGCATGGTTGCTGTTAAAGGCATCTGGTTAGCTCAGAGTGGGGGAGAAAAGTGCTGGAGGCAACATGCATTTCAAGCAGTTTCCTGCACTGACAGCTCAGCCTTGTTCCTTCGCACTCTCCCTTTAAATATCTTCCCACCCTACGTTTGAAAGATTTACAATATTTCCATTGCAAGCTCCAGCTTGTCCTCCTTCCTCATCCTGGTGTAATTTGTGTCAGCTTTGTGCTTGTTTCCCCTGAGGTTCCCATATTTTAATTTGGAAACAAAGCATGCAGGGAAATGGAATATGATTGAAGGCACAAGCACCTTTGAATAGTCAAAGCTGGCAAGATGGTACATCTATTACATAAAATGCTTCTATAAGCTTTGATTCCACAAAAATGACTGACTTTTCAAAGCATATGTATTGCTCCCCATATGTGTGCATTTAAAATGTCAGGCTGCATAAAAAAACCCATCAGAAATAATTCTGCAAAGGAATGTCTTGGTGTTTTGGCCTTGTAGCCTATTTTGAATGTAAATGCTGTTGGGGAAAAATGGGACACATCTACACTGACCACTTTATACAGAAGGACAACATCAAAATGCCTCGCAGAGCTGATCCAGGGTAACACGTTACACATTAACTGGAGTATACTATGATTTTGGGCCCATGTAAACAGTAGGGCTGGTTCTGGGATGGAACCGGCTGCAACTGATTACATTGCCATCCCATGTCTCTTGGGCTCAATGATATCTCTTACTTTTTGCTCCTCAAAGGAAGAATTCAGGTTGATCCTGCAGTTCTTATCCTTGGTCACTTCACTGTAGACCCTTAAAACACCTTGAGTTTCATGTTGGAAAGATAGATTTGTTGGTCAGTGATTCAGTGTGATAAAGTATGACCATTTTCTTTGTTAATTATTAAATTAACACATGCAGACAAAAAAAGGAAGGGGGAAACCCAGTCACATGTATTATATAACAAATGAAATAAATATTTTCCTTATGGTGTCTCCATAAACATTACACTATAATACTTCAGTTTCAGAAGAAAGTAATATTTTCCCCACAGTTATTTCCATTCCCTATTCAGATCTTATCACTATTTCTTACTGGCTCCATTTGAGTGCTTATATACTTTCCTCCATGACCCCCCCCCCCCCAACTTTCCCTAGCATCCAATGAGCTGTGGTTGGCTAATTCTACACAGGGTTGCAACCCTGGCTCATCTCCCCCATTTCTGTCCTCATGTCTTTGGTGTGATGTGGAGTAACCTTCCATATCTGTATTCGAGTTGTATGGATACAGATGAAGGACTTGGTTTAATTGTACATGTTGTACTTCAGTTTTCATTAGAGGAGTTCCTTCTATGAAAGCATATCAGTGAATCAGTCATATCCTGTTGTAACCATTCCAGCACTTGTCCGAGTTAAATCTGACTTCCTGATCCATTAACGATAGTGATAGTGAATACAGAGGCACAGATTTTCAGTTGTGCCCTGTGGCTAGTTGGCTTCATTAATGAGATTGCACACTTTGTAAGATTCATTTTTTCTGGCCAAAGTTGCTATTTCAGAGTATACCCAGTGGAAATTTTAGTGGAATCCTATGCTTCCTTTCACATAGTTTTTCATGCCTCTTGGAAGTGGATGTGATTGCAGTCTGTTCCTTTTTTTCAGCAGTAGTGATTTTTCCTCTAGAAACTTCTTTGCTGAATGCCAGCTGGGAATCATGGACTGAATTCAATCATATCCTGGTACCCAACAGTCAGTTCTGCTTATGTGATAGTACTGCTAAGGTCAAGAGAGGTGACAACATTGTCCAAACCATCCACTGAGAGCAATTCAACTCTAACCCTAACCCTCCCCCACCCTGCTGTTGTATTGACTGTATCATTGCCACTTGAGTGACATAGCAAAACATGTCACAATACAGCTGTTGTGGAATGTTATTATTACTACTACTAATAATAAAACTTTATTTTATACCCCGCCTCCATCTCCCCAAGGGGACTCGGGGTGGCTAACATGAGGCCAAGCCCAACAAATTACAACAGAGCAAAAAATACAACAAAACATCATAAGATAATACATCAAATAAATACAATAAATAAAAAAATAATACAAAGTATAAACCAAATAAAACATTGAACATAGTGGGCAGGACTAAATACAACGGATAAGATTTTAAAACCCTGGTTGAGATGGACAAGTAGGGTAATGTATCTGATGGGAAGTTCGGGGGGGGGGGGAATGGGATTTCATTCACTGAAGGGTGAGCATCAAAAGACATTATGGGCTGAGTTGGCCAAAGTTGAGTTGGTTCAATCCTTGAAGGCACACCAGAACAACCAAGTTTTTAGGCTGCCAGAAGGCTGCCAAAGTGGGCACTTGCCTAATCTCACTGGGTAGCGAGTTCCAAAGTCTAGGGGCCACCACATACTAAGTGTTGCAGAATGTGACCATCTGCGTGTGCATCACTTATACGCTCTGAGTCCCTCTGGGGAGATAAAGCAGAATATAAATAAAGTGTATTATTATTATGATTATAAAGTTCTGCACTGCAGATGACTATCAACCTTAATATTGATCTCTCTCCTCATAGTACCACAACCAGTAATCCAAGAATGGCTGGATTGTTGTCAGCATTTACCAGCGCAATAGTCTCAAAAATTGGACAGTGTGAGCTGCCAGCTCTTATATCAATGAAGCAAGTAAATCACTCTGAACATGACAAAGCTACCCAAGTTACTGAACCTGTTTTGGTTCTACACTTTGGATGGCTCTTTTAAATTCTACATTAAATCCAAATCTTTCTACCAACCAGGAAACTACAGGCCACCCACTGGATACATGCAATTTTTACCTGGATCAAAGGACTGGTGCATGGTGAACCCTGGGCACTGAGTTTAATACTCATCTCTGGATTTATGACTTGTGTGGAAACCCCCGTTTGCTGTATTTGTTCTCACAAGAACCCCTATAAACTGTCCATTTGTCCCATTGGATCATCACCTGTGCTCTGGTAATTTGTAGACCATAATGTGTTTATAGTGCTGTATTGGGCTAATCATTTTCATTTCATTTTCCAATGCAGCTTTGACCGTGAGATTCATCACCAAGCGATTCATTGGTGATTATGACCCCACTCTAGGTGAGTCTAGTTCCTTGCTTGTTTTTACTTGTTTGGGAATGTGGGTGTTTGTGTGCAAGGGGAAAAGAGAAGGGGGGGGGGGGGGAGAGTAGTATCCAGCTGTCAGAGTAATTGCCATTTTGCTCACATGCTAAACCTTCAAAAGGTCCAGGGTTCAATTCCCAACATTTCTAGCTATACCTGGGAAAGATTTTTGTCTCACATCCTGATGAACAGCTACCAGTCACTGTAGATACTAAGCCAGATCGACTAGCGCTCTGGCTCTTTGCAATGTAGCTCCCTGTGGTGGAGCAGATGGATGCGATGGTGGGAGGGTGACTAATTAATATTATTTTCAAATGTAAAACATGGACCTATTTGAGAGTAAAAAGCAATGGCAGGAATAAGTTGGCAAGAATCAAGGTGATGCGTTTATAAACAGTTTGTGTACTAAAATATTCAGAATGGTGCACACTACAGTCATAAAACCATATAGTATATTCAGAATATGGGAAAATTCTCTTTTTACATTATATGTCCCAAATCTTTCAGCCAGCATGCCCACCGGCCATGGTGATTGGGGAATTCTCTGATGTGCAGTCCTCAAAACAATCAGAAAGTACAGCAGGCCACCTGTTTCTAGAAGCAACAACAAATGAATATATTACCTAAGCAACATCTAGAAGTGTAAAAACAAAATAATAACAAACAAACATCAGCTTCCCACTAAGATAGGAAGCAATAAAACTAAATGCTGTAGAAGCTACTAAAAGAAGTGCATGTTCTGGCAAAAACACACACAAATGGGAATCCAGGCAAATTTTAATTAGAATAATAATACAATAATACACTTTATTTATAATCCATCTTTCTCCCCAGGGGGACTCAGCAGATTACAGTATAATAGAGCAAACAAAGGCAAACATTCAATGCCTTATTTACAGGCATACAACAAAGACAAGGCTGAAGACTTCTCCTTTCATTTCCGGGTTTGGAGGCGTTGTTCATTTCTGGCTCCAAGGGGTGCTCATTTATCCATTTTTCAAGCCGGGAGCCTGCAATGTTACCTCCCGAACATGTGGCTGGCAAGATTGCTTGGAGCGTCTCATTGCCTTTTCCCATACCTATTTATCTACTCACATTTGCATGTTTTCGAACTGCTAGGTTGCCAGGGAAGCTAGGGCTGACAGATAGGAGCTCATCCCATCTTGCAGATTCAAACTACTGACCTTTAGGTCAGCAAATTCAGTGGCACAAAGGTTTAACCAATTGTGCCACCGTAGTCCCTGGATCTAGAGTCATGAATCCACTACAAAAAATGTCATATTCTGAATTTCTCTCACCTGATCAAATTATGTGCTCAGCAACTTCTCACAACTCAAACCAAGTAGCAATGATAAGATGCTGGCCTCAAGATTGAGTTCACTCTAATTTTGCAAGGAAGCTTAACTGCTGTCTCCCCCTTTGACGGCCATTGTCCCTCTTCATATATTTTAGAAAGTGTATTGGACCAATCCACCTGAATTTCAGCTAGTATTGTGCCAACCTAGCAGTTCGAAAACAAGCAAATATGATTAAATCAATAAGTACTGCTCTGGTGAGAAGGCAATGGCGCTCCATGCAGTCATGCCAGCCACATGACCTTGGAGGTGTCTATGGACAACGCCAGTTCTTTGGCTTAGAAATGGAGATAAACACTAATCCCAAGAGTCAGACACAACTGGACTTAATATCAGGGGAAAACCTTTACCTTTACCTATTGTGCATTGAATGTAATTTTAAACAGTACACTCTTTGAAAATCCTGGCCCTTGTCTTCTGTTCTCTAATTAGTTTTAATATTTTCACTATTATGTCCTTACTTTCAGCGTGTGCATGTGGATAATGCCTTGACATGATTCTCTTGCTATCACAGCATTTCCAATTCTTGGGCTGAAACTGCATATATATATATATATATATTTCTCAGGGATAAAGCCCTACTGAGCCCAGTCAGACTTATTTTCAGAAGCAACACAGCTAGGATTGTGCTAAACATTATGAAATCAACCATGCAAAGAACAGAATAACAAGTGTTCTGTAGGATTCTGCAGGGAAGCTGTGGGTGGGAAAAGAGAGAAGATGCAGAATCATTTCTGCCTCCTCCCTCTTTTTTAATTTTTTATTTGTTGACAGGAAGGAATAACTGTGAGGAAACTAATAACAGCCAAAGGCAAACAACAAGACTAGACAATATATGGCAGTTCCTCTCCTTTAATCTAAACTGCGTATATATACACACGTGGGCTCCATTATCACCTCCTCGATCTTGAGAAAAAGAAGAATGCCCTTGAGGACAAAATGAGTTAATAAGGCTTGTTGGAGCCTGGTCATTTCAGATTTGGAGGATGTGTGGGAGCCAGAAAGGTTTTGAAATTAGGATGTTGTTGTCACGGCTGTTTGTGCCATGCACAGTTGCTCTTCAGGGCATCTTTAGTAGGTGGGCTTGCTACTTTTCTCAGGCTGAGTTTTGACAGGACCTCATTGCAATGAACAACGGCCTGAGTTTTTATTTAAGTCTCACCAGGCAGAGCCCAGAATTGCTGGATGCGGAGGTTTCGGCTACAGAGCAAATAGAGCAAACTGTATTGAATTAATAAAACCCTCAAGAATGGGCTATGTTTATATCTGCAGTTGCCATTGCAGCTGAGGGTGAGAGGAAGGTCTGCAAATTGGCAAGCATCACTCCAGCTGCCTTCTTCTCCCACGCCTTCCCTTCTGCTTCACCTTCTCTGCTTTTCTTCTTTTCTCCTCAACTTCTCATTTCTCCTGCTGCCTTCACACTTTTTGTTTGTTTCTTTTCTCTTGCAATGCAGGGTTAGACACAAGGATTGTTCTCTTAATTCCCTTGTGTTTTTAATAACGGGTGGCCTGGATGTCATTTATTCCCAGCCCATTCCTCTTTCAGCCTTTGGCTCACAAACCCAATTCTTTCTGCGATCCTGGTGTATGTCTCCCTCGCCTCTACCATAATTACTCTCTCACCTGGCTGCTTTTGGCTTCTACACTATAACCCAGTCGTTCTCAACCTGTGGGTCCCCAGGGGTTTTGGCATACAACTCCCAGAAATCCTAGCCAGTTTACCAGCTGTTGGGATTTCTGGGAGTTGAAGGCCAAAACCTCTGAAGACCCACAGGTTGAGAACTGCCGTATAATCATTCTTGTCCTCACTGAACTACAATATTCTCTTTCCGTAACATTATTTTATCTTAAGAGGGTAGATTTATGAGACCACAAAACTTTAGTAAGACTGCAGGAGACTTCTCACCCCACAGTGATATTTTTTTTTTTTGTAAAAACTGGCTGTGTAAGTTTAGTATCAGTTTAGTATATAGTATATAGATCAGGAGTGTGGAATGCAGTCTGTGGGTCAGATAAAAGCCCTGACCCCCTCAAACCACCCAAACTCCCACCCAACCCCTCATTGGTTTATTTTTAATTATCTGCATTCATATCAGATTATTTTATAGTGATTGTAATGTTTGAAAATGTTTTAATGTATTTTAATTTTGATTTTAATTTCAATTTAAATGTTTATTTAATTGAATATTGTTGTTAAGGCATTGAACTATTGCCTATCTGTAAGCCACCTTGAGCCCCCTTCAGACTAGAGAAAGATGGGATATAAATATCGTAAGTAAGTAAGTAAGTAAGTAAATACATTTTATTTCTTTGGGTTGGGTTTTTCTTTACTATTAAAAGAGTTCATATTTTTTGAGGTGGCCTGATTTCACTCTACTCCCCTTTATATTTCATTGATTTTCATATTCTGCCCTGGGAATTGCTGAAATGATGATGATGATCATCATCATCATCATCTACAATCACCACCCCATGTCCTAAAAGTTCTCAGATGTGAAATCTGCATGAGAAAATTGTCTTATTTGGCTATACTGCATATGTATTTGCATGCAGAAGGAGCCAGAAGGACAGCAGCAAAGAAGAAAACATTTTGTTCAACATGTTTCTCATGTTTATCATTAATTTTGCTTTATGCAAATAACAAGGAAGTTCTCATACATTTTTCTGTCTTCCACAGAGATGATTTATAGGCACACAGCTGTCATCGATAGCGAGATGGTGCATTTTGAAATTCTTGACACAGCTGGACAGGTATGGTGCTGGTTATCCCACTTATGAGATAGTGAGTGATACACTAAGAGAGAGAGAGAGAGAGCAGAAAATGGTGGCAACTAGAGCGATCCAAGAATTGGAGCAGGTCTTCTCAGAAGAAAGGTTGTGATATTTCAGAAGCATTGATGGACGCAATCGCATGCTATAAAATTATACAAGGTGTAAAGAAGTTTCTCATAGTTAGGGCCATTCAGGACAGATAAAATGTCTATTTGTTCTTCTTGCTATTTTGTGAAATTTGGTATCAACAAACAGGATTGTGATGCTAAATCCAACATGACACTAACCTCCCCACTGAAGCTTTCACAGGTTCCTGGAAATGGGCTTCAGAGAGTTCCCCCTGTTTTTAGGGGTGGTCAGACAGCTGCTGTGAGGATGGACAGGGCATTGTAGAATCAGAGTGTTAGAAGAGACCTCAAGATTATCCAGTCCTATCCACTCCTACGCAGGAATCACCCCTGAATGATGGCCATCCAACCTCTGGTCTAGACCTTCTCCGAACTACAAATACAAAAATTCCATGGCAGATGAAGTATTCTGTGAAGGGACCCTGAGTCACATGTGCTATTTTCTCTTGTTTCTCAATTAATTACTCCATAGCTAGCATGATTTTTGGGTTACTGTGAGTTTTCTGGGCTATATGGCCATATTCCAGAAGCATTCTCTCCTATGGTTTCACCCACATCTATGGCAGGCATCCTCAGAGGCAAACGTCAGGAGAGAATGCTTCTGGAACATAGACATATAGCCTGGAAAACTCACAGCAGTCCAATGATTCTGGCCATGAAAGCTTTCAATAATAGTCTGGTTTTGTTCACATCATGTTAATGATTTTGTTTATGTACACAGTGCATAATTTTGTTGCAGATTATGGAGCTGTGGGCTATGAATTCAGCCTTGGTTGGTCAAAATATCCCCAGTGAGAGGCCAGTTAGGGGTATTGGGTCAGCACTGAAGAACTGTTGAGTAGATGTGAGGAATGTATAACTTGTGGTTCAGAAGAAGAGAATGTGAAGGGAGTATACAAACTGTCCTCCAACTTCCTGACTCCATATACCCCTCTGTCTCCTCACATTAATGTGCCAGACATACTCAGCATAATCATAAATGTACTAAGATCTTCACTGGGAAGCTGTCACATTTGCATGCTGATTTGTGATCCTTTGATTCCTCTTTTGCCCTAGGAGGAGGATTCCTTGCAAATTGAAGAGAAGATTAAGTGGGGAGATGGCTTTGCCGTGGTTTACTCTGTCACTGATCGGTGCAGCTTTGATGAAGTCATGAGGCTCTGTTTCCTCATCAACCACATCCATTCCAGCCCCAAACGAAGCAATGGAAGTGGAGACCCGCCAGTGGTGATTGTTGGGAACAAAAAGGACTTGCAGTTTGACCGAATGGTGTCCTTTGAGGATGGAGAGAACCTCTCCAAGGCCCTGAAGCACCCGTTCTATGAAATCTCTACCAGGGACAGCTATGAGGAGACGGTGACTGTTTTCAATACATTGTATAGTGAGCTGATGAAGCAAGGGCACTTTTCCCCAGGCTCCTTTAAGAGACGAGCAGTGTCTAAACTCATGGAAAAGATCCCAAAGATTCATGCCAACTCAACACTGGCCTCAGGTGGCAGGAGCCTGAGCTTCAACTCCTTCCGAGACTACATCCCAGAGTGAACTTTTGCATTGGCATTTGTGCAGTGATGAGTGATGCACGTAGGGACTGGGTGCCGCCAACAAGGGAGAGACTGCAGAGCTGAGGACATGGCAAGCCCAGAGGCCTGTACATGGTTAGGAAACATGTTTTGGGGTCCCCACCTCCAACTACTTTAAAACCAGGGAAGATGATCCTGACTTATGATAGTCTGTGGTGCAATGGTGCATGAAACAGCCAAAGATTCATCCAAGCTGATTTGCTGTTTTGCTTTAGTCAGATGCTTTTGGCTGTCCAAAGCAGAGCATGGGTGAAAATAACTTTCACCATTCCCTGGCAATTGATGTTCAGTAGCACATTGAATACCAGGTTCCCTTAAGCCATTGTGGCTAATAGCCATTGATAAAGTCCTTTCCCCACTTCCCCTAACCAAGTATTTTTTTTTCTCTTTTAGACATAACCTTCTAAGTAAGTGGTCTAACCTGTTAGGAGTCATCATTACCAGTGTTGGTGAATTCCTTGTGTAAGGCCAGAATTTTGGCAAGAGATGGCATGCGTTTTTAAAATCCAGGGTGAAAGACAGCCGTGAAAGCACATTTTCAGTGGGGGTCTAGTTCTTCTACCACTTGGCCCAAGAAAGCCATAAAAAAGGAGATACCCTTGCAGTCATTGTTTGGAAGCTAAGCTTAACAACCGCTTGGCTGTTTGGAATGCCATCAGCTCTTGTAAGGAAGGTCTTGTGGAAGTAGCAGTTGATTAAGATTCACTCTTTCTGGTTGTTGATATGTTACTGGTTACTCCTTACCACCAAACCAGTGTTCACAGAGTTATTCACCTGATCCTTTCCATACAAGCTCAAGTCTACTGATATTGCCAGGTTGCTCGAGGTATTTTTTTATTGGAGGCAGTGAAGAGCAGTGTATCCTTCCTATTCCACTAACACAAGTGGAACAATCTAGGAGTTGATTCTTGCTCTGGTATTAGTGATAGAAGAGCAATTTTCATAGGGTTTGGGTGAAAGGGAGTGCTTTTTATACAGTGTTAACACAGGGACACAAGACTTCATGGCAGGAGGGAAGTAATTAATGCAGAGAATCAGAATATTCTTAGGATTAGGAAACAAAAGATCATCCAGTCCATTACCTTCCATAATGCAACTTTTTCTGTAGCTATATCAAGGCTACCTTGAATAAGATTCAGATCATCGGCCTTTTCTTGGCGTGCAACTGCCACCAGGAACAATTACTCTCCGTTTTGGCAGATTCTTGTTCCTTCCTTTTCTTTTAAGAAGCAGAGAAGCCAGGATGACACTGGAGCCATCTAAATGCAAAGAATATGGAGCTATCATCTCAAAGCTTGGAGAAGCTGCAAGTAACACTTTCAAGCTTTGACTAAGGTCTTTATTAAGACCATTGCTTTTCTTCCCCTCCTAAGACCTTATTTACTGTGCTAATAGACTACAAAAGCTACAAGTTAGTTGCTGTTTTGGAAAGATTGATGGCTGACCCAATAACTCCATTTGCTTCACAGAGGTTTCTGATTTCCGCCTTTGAACATCAGGAAAAGCAGTCAACTTGCGACCCACTTCCTTTAAACGGCCTTTTGCTTGGTTTCTGTGCGGGCAACCTATTGTGTCTCAAACATGGGGGTACTACAAATACATCTTGAGTTATGCACTATAGCAAGAAGGTCTGTTTGTGTTTTCTGATTCTTGATCAAATCCTATGGATGGTATTTTACTTAATGCCCCAGCAGCCTGCTGCAAAATGGATTTGCTGTCACTCAACAGACTTTGAAGGTAGCCTTCTTCTGAGATCCAGTTAGCTTTCAAACTGGAGGTAGACTTTGTTTTTTGTTTGTTTACTGTTCTTTCCTTGAAGCTATTTGGCTTTATAATTAAATGTTGTGTTGTGGAACGATATTACATTATCTCCTGCTGATTTAAATATGTATGCAATCAGGAGGAATTAACTGCTACAATATGCATACATTACAGGGGATGATATCTAATTATGTTGTTTTTTTTAAAAAAAATCAGTAAAGGTACACTTACAAATAGGTTAAGGTCATGCCAAGTTGATGATACTTTATATAATAACTCCCAAGTGATACAGGCTGAGATGGTCTCCTCTCCTCCTTGTAATTTTGGTTTTTCCCATGTTGGTGTCCTTCATAGATTTTGACTACATCTCCCATCTTGCCTGAACATTGACCATGCTGGGTGGTGTTGATGGAATGTGTAAACCAACTTCTCTGAAAGACACAAGCAGAAGGAAGTGGAGAACAGAATGCCAACGTCACCTCTATGGAGTAAAAAAATTGCAATATATTACATAATGTTGGTGTCTTAACAGCATGCCTATAATGTTTATTGCTATAGTGCATGATCATGCATTTTTATTGCCATCAAATAAAGCAATTATTTAATGTTTGTTCTGGCAGTTCGAAACCAATAATTATCTGGATTAGGATCTTGGCTTCTTCCCCCATTATTTCCCCTAAATTAATTCTGTTTCATTATGGCAACTTGTTTGCTGTCTGAAGAGAATGGGCAATTTTTAAAAGCGAATTCTTCCTTTTTAAAGCCATAACAGTTTGTCAGACAGCATTTAAAATCGTTCACTTGCACTGTAAAATGAGACACGGTTATCTACTGTTTTCTCTTCTTGTTTGGGGATTTGCCTTTCTCAGGCAAAATGTCTTAAGAAGTGAATGTTGAGTTAGAGGGCATATCTGTTTCCATGGGAAAAGAAGGTTACTGGAAGATTTCTTTACTATCTTGAAGGAGTACTCAAGAAAGGTTAAACCTAAATGGTTGTTGATATTTATGTTCATATTACATTTTCTTCTCCAAGACGCCAAGAAAGCTGACCCTTGTGAAAGCGGCTCTCTAAAGCTAAAAGCACAGCATCACCCCCAAAACCTTTAATGCGAGCAGAGGTGTAAATGTTGAGCCTATCATAGATCAAGCATTTGCTAGAGATTTTAAATGTACTTGAAGTGGGGTAGAGACTGGATGTTCTGCAGTAGATGATGATGATTCACATGAGAAGTTTTTTAAAAAATCCTTTACAACCACACTTAAACACCTTCACTTCAGAGTATGATATCTCACAGCCCCTAAATCTCACATCTTCGCTGGTTGGGGAAGTGATTACTTCATTTTTCACAAATGCATCTTTTCTCCTTTAGCCCTGTTTACAATTTCATCTGTACAGCAAGTATTTCTCATGATACAACTTGCTAGGTAATACATTACCCCTATTATGATTTTCATTGGTAGATCTCACAGAGTACTCCTTAAATTCTCTGTTGATCTCGTTTTCATTCTGCTACTGCAATATTTCTCAAGGAAATAATTATTGGAGAAGTAGTTGTTGGAATGACAACCTTACATACAAGATAAAGCAGCAACATAGAATAGCATTGCTAGGGTTTTTTTCCGTGTCAGGAGTGACTTGAGAGACTGCAAGTCGTTTCTGGTGTAAGAGAATTGGCAGTCTGCAAAGATGTTGCCCAGGGGATGCCCGGATGTTTTGATGTTTTACCATCCCATGGGAGGCTTCTTTCATGTCCCTACATGGGAAGCTAGAGCTGAGACGGGAGCTCACCCCACTCCCCGGATTTGGACCGCCAACTTGTCTGTCAGCAGTCCTACCACCACAAGGGTTTAACCCATTGTGCCACCAGGGACTCCAGCATTGCTAGGTAATGGAAGTCTGGCTCTTTATAATAAATGAATGCATCCAAATTTGTGCATTCTACTTTCCAGCAATGTAATGAATGGGTTGAGTCCTTATGAAAACCTGAGGCACTAAAAGTCACCGATCCATGGATCTCTAATTTTGGTAGCATCAGACTAACAAATAGGCGAATGATCAAAACGTATCTAAGAATGACTGCATGTATGTGTGTGCAGAAGTTTGCGAAATTATGGGTTGTTTTAGCATGCTCAGTTTTGCCATTTGTTTGAGATAGTTGATTGCTTGTTCCAGCAATTCTCTGCACACTGTAAAAATGAAGTTATTCAAATGGAGCTGTTTTCTTTACCCCTGGCATTGCACTTATCAGAAATTTTAATTGCTTGTTGAGAGACGTGATCAGCTTTCTTTATATAGGAGACAATGGGTGTGAATATGTGAATTACACTTCCCTCCACTGATTGCACCTCAACACTTCATCTAAAATGTCACCTGGCTCTAGTGTCCAATTGAAAGCAATTTGAGGATCATTTTGCTCTGTGGATATTTGGACTGCAGCTCCTAGTATCTTCAACCAATTACCATGCTGGCTGGAATATCTCGGAGTTGAAAAAGCCCTGTGAGGAACGGCTTAAACAGCTTGGCATACTTAGCCTGCAGAAAACAAGGCTGAGAGGAGACATAATGGCCTTATATAAATATGTGAGAGGATGTCATAGGGAGGAGGGAGCAAGCTTGTTTTCTGCTGCCCAGGAGACTAGCACATGGAGCAATGGCTTCAAACTACAGGAAAGGAAGTTCCACCTGAACATTAGGAAGAACATCCTGACTGTGAGAGTTGTTCAGCAATGGAACTCTCTGCCCTGGAGTGTGGTGGAGGCTCCTTCTTTGGAGGCTTTTAAACAGAGGCTGGATGGCCACCTGTCAGGAGTGCTTTGAATGTGATTGTCCTGCTTCTTGGCAGGGGGTTGGACTGGATGGCCCACGAGTTCTCTTCCAACTCTATGATTCTATAAGCCCTTCCCTTGGATATGAAGAAAGACATTCTAATATGAAAATGATTACTTCCTTTTAGTACATATACAGGCTTCCCCCACCTTTAGATGCCTTGCTTTCTGATGACTTGTTCTTCCAATGCTTGCAAATTGCTGACAAATTCTATTAATTTGGTGAGGAATCTGCTATTTCATAAGTTTTTTTCTTGCCTATGAGGTCTACTTGGGACTGCTGGCACATACCCTACAGTATACTGTACATTTACTGTATACATTACATCTTCCAGCAGCCAAAATGTATTGGAAAACATTTAAAATCTGGTTCCACTTTTCAACCAATTCCACTTTCTGACAGTGTAGCAGTCCCTAAGCCATCAGATAAATGAGGGCTTCCTGCGTTTATTTTTAATTCTGCACTAAGGTACACAACCAAGGGCCAGTGATGCTATATGGCTCTGTACATTTGGCCACCAAAATGGAAATCATAAAAAGTGAAGCCTGAAGTTAAAAATAAATGTTCTTGAATGCATTTTGAAAGAAGGTTTCAAACAGTCTCTAGAATGTTCAAAATGTTTACATATGCAAGGCTTTGCTGACCAGGTTCTTTCATTTCACATGTGCATATGGTTGGTTTTGAATAAAAAGTTTGATGAAACACATTGAACTACTTCTCTTTCATTTTTTTTAAATATGAGCACCTTTCCTTATTCTTTCTATTTTATCTCTGCCCCGGGATCGTTTTTTCTTTTAAAGAAGTAGCACACCAATTCTGTTAATTGATATATACCTCTATATTGTGTTGGCCTTCAAATCACTCATAGACTTATAGTAAACCCGTGAATCTGATAGAGTTTTCTTAGAGGAAGAATAGTCCGGGACCGTCCATACAGACCATGTATCTCAGGATCTGATCCCAGGTTTTCTGCTTTAAACTGGATTATATGAGTCCGCACTGCCAGATAATTTGGGATAAACAGAAAACCTGGGATAAAATCCTGGGTTATAGGGCCATGATGTAATGGCTACACATGACCTGAAAAGCTAACTTTAAACCTTCTGAAATAAACCCAGATTAATTTGGCAGAATGCATATATCATGCTGAACCACTGATATATCTTATGTTTTATTATGTTGTCATTTTCCGAAATGGATGTTTTCTCCTGTAGCAAGAAATACCTGCTTGCCCTCATTGGAATAGAGGAAAGAGAGAATTTGGCCAACTGAGCATCTGTTGGATAATTTATAATAATTTGACTCAGTGTGATATTATTATCATGCCAGAAAGAAAGCATAGCAACGTAACTGCAGAGGAAAAGTTTATTTGGGCTTCAGGGCATATGCAGATAGAGACCAGCTGCTGTCTGACTAAGTAAACCACCTTTTATATTCCCTGCTGTGAGGCCATTTGCAGCACTAATTGATAGCATTGTTGTTATTATTTATATCAATTTATGTCCATGTATGTCATATTAAAAGCTCAACTCATTCGTTTCCCAAAAGCCTAGTGACACAGAAATGTTTTCAGTTGCCAGCAGAAGGAGGACAAGGAGGGGACTGTACCAACCTCCTTAGGAAGGGAGTCCCAAATACTGGGAGGCAGGAGCAGTTACCAAGAAGGCCTTGTTCCCATAAATGAGCCTGAGAAGGTGATGGAACAGAGAGAAGGACCATTCCTGAAGATCTTTGAGCTCTAATGAAATAGGGCATTATAGGTCTTTGCCAACACTTTGAATTGCGCCCAGGAACTGACTGGTATGTCTATTGTGAGAGATGTTATGGATCTCTCAATACATTATGCATAAGCTGAACAATTCACCATCCCACCCAATGTACACACACACCATGAGGTCTATCAGGGAAAAAAATCAAACTTAGTCTTCTTTGTAAGGGATATAAAAGTGTTTTACTGACAAATACTTGTGAATAATCAACACAGTTTCATCTTCTTGAAGAAAGGTAAGGAAAAAAAGAAAGGCCACTACACAATTATCATGAAGATTGGAGAAGCGCTTATCACATGTACTCCATGGAGGATAGGTAGGCACAAAGAGATGAGACCTCGGTGAACAAAAGAAAGGCCATATGACGCTGGAATAGAATGGATGTGGACAAACACACATACACACAAAGTAATGAAAAACATACTGTGCTAAACTCCTAGTGAGTGATATGCAATTTTACTATCGGTATAGGTGTGCAAAGGTGCTAACTCCAACTCCACACCCAATCTTTCCAAAGAAGTATGATCACATTTGAGAGATAGACTTCAGGAATGGTCAACTGTGGAACCCACAGTATATTGATCTGTTCTTTGAAGATGTCCTTGAAGGGAGAGAGTTTGCTAGCCTAGCTTTGGAACCACTCATTCAGGCAGAACTAACCGAACAGAATAAGGCATTTTCCTCAAGTAGGAGATTTTGATAGCAGAGCCCTGCTACACTGATCATTTTATGCTGTTCAAAGCTAGCTTCCAACTGCAGCAACAAGACAACAAATAGCCAGGAAAGTGTGTGAAATAAAGACCTTAATGCACATCAGTACTCTGGTTTGTGTAATAACCATCTAGGCTTCAAACTGGTTCCAGGATATCTTCTATAACCACTTTCTTCAATACCAGTTTGAAACTGACTTAAGTGGACAGTGTAGATGTGTCCTGAGTCAAGATCAGAAATGGTTAATTATTTATTCTCCTTTTATTTATTTATCATGTCAGGAGCAAACCAAACAGATGTATTGTATTTTTAAAAACCCACAAAGTTTGCAAACTTGGCATTCTATTAAATGTCCTTTGACAAGTAGCTAGCCATTGGGAGTGGCCAGCTAAATCTTCTCCTACTATTTTTAAAATAGAGTGGGGAGGCACTTAGAGGTCTTTCTGCAGTTTTAATAAGTGGATTTTCTAGTGTTGGCTTCAAAGTACTTCATTCCCACAAAATTAGGTAATGCACAATAGAGGGCAGTGTAGTACAGAGGAAGCAAGAGTGCACTACAGCTCTCAGAATCCTCCACCCACCGCTGCCTCTGGACCTGCTGGATGGGGGAAAGCTGAGAACTATAGTCCAAAAGAATAGCTTTTCCAGGCTTTGACCAATCTTCAAATACTGAATAGTGTAGAACAAATGTAATCCTCAAGTTACAAACAAGATAGGTTCTGTAGGTTTTTTTTCCTTAAATTGAATTTATATGTAACTAGAGTTACATTTTAAGTGTAACTCTAGTAAGATTTATATAGTTTTGGATAGCATAGGGAAAGGGTAACACCCCTGTTGTGTTTGTTTTGCTTTCTGTACCCCTGTTCAGAAGATTTTACCTTGCTTTCATGTCCCTGTGATAATTTGATTTTGAAAAAAATGGCTTCTTCTAGAACAAGGACTGGTGATAAAGCTTCAGTAAAGACACCTTTTACCCACGATAATGCTTTCAGGAGTGCATTTCCCTTCCTAGGGATTGATTTTTCTCACTTCCTGTTGTCTCACCCCCGTTCTTAACTATGAGTTGTTTATAAGTCAAATGTGTATAACTTGGGAACTGCCTGTAACTCCACAACATGTTTTGGAGGGATAACCGTATAGCTTTGTGTGTGCATAATAGTCAGTTAATGTTTTTCTCTTTCAGATCCTCCCACATTTCACAGATGAAAAGCAAGACATGTGGCAAGGAAACATCAGAATGTAGTCAAGATGGCAAAAACAGACAGACTAAGAGAGGTTTGCTTTTGTGGCAGCCTGCTGGAAAGGGAAAGACTCTGGCCCCTCCTGTCAGTCCTCAAGATTAACTTAATGCTAACGTTGAACGTTGAATTAATAAGCAAAAATGGAAGCAAGCCAAGGGCAAAATTGGAGTAGGGGAGAGAAACTGGGACATTTTGAAAGTAGCTGAAAAATGAGGTGCAGTGGCAAAACTCTGAGATAGTGGATGGTAGGCTCTTTGCTAAACCTGGGAAGATGGACAGCACTCTTTGCAGTCTAAATAGTTTTTGGCATTGGTTGCTTATTATGTTTTTTTTAAATATTTTTGTTGTTTGAAGAAATGTTATAGTTTATTTTACTTTTGAGGCTGTGTTGTTAGTTTGTAATATTGCTGCTGATTTGTGAAGTGCCTGTGTATTTTTTTCATTACAAAGCAGGATAAAAATATTTTGAACAAACAAACAAGCACTTCCACTTTCAGACAGTTGTATTAACCAGATTGTCTTGGATTAGATATGTATCAGTTCTTAGATTTTTCAACTACTATATATAAGTAGTCACAAGGGCTAGCAACCCGAATGATGCTGCCGCAAAATTTGATAGCTAAAAAACAAAAGTTAAAATACTACCCAAGCAATTCCTGGAATTCAACCAAGGTACCAGATGGAATACAAATACAAATCAGCGGAAAGATTAAAAGACTGTCTAAAAAATTATTTATTGCTTCTCCTAGCACAAGAACTATGTCCTTGGGTGCTCTTATTGATACTTACATTAGCATTATGGCAAAAATAAAAGCTGACATCCCACCAGTGTGCCATTACATCATGTAGTGGCCTCTGTGGGGCTCCATTTCCACAGCTCATAGAAATGAAGCTCTAAAGTCGTTAACTGATATGACTCAAATTCTGACTCTCCGGACTCCCCGCTTCTGACCCTAACAGGTTCTGTTCCTTGATCTGGTTCCATCTTGATGAGAAACTCCCTTCCGGGCACACAGAAGACTGGGTGACTTGGAAGGAAATGAACAGACTGGCTCTGATACCACAAGATGGAGAGCCAATCTTAAGAAATGGGACTATACAGTGGAGTCCATGACACGTGAGTGTGGAGAAGAGCAAACCATAGACCACTTACTACAATGCACTCCAAGTCCTGCTGCATGCATAATGGAGGACCTTCTTACAGCAACACCAGAGGCACTTCAAGTGGCCAGATTCTGGTCAAAGGAAATTTAGCAAGGTTTTTAACCTTGTTTGTCATTTTTAAATACATTATAATTGTATTCTCAATTTGCTTCTGACACGATAAATAAATACAATCTTGGTGCTAAAAATGTTGCCTTTCAATTTGAAAACCCAATGCATGCAGATCCCTCCAGGCAACATTTTCCATTTGTCTTCCTACTCAAGAAAACAAAGGCTGTTCTAAACATTCCACATATGAGTACAGTTCAGAGTGAGTGTTCTGTGAGGGGTGCCTGCAATTCAGGTGGGGTTTGATTGAGCACATCTCATAGTATTGAAAAGTAAAAAGTATAATCATGTTTCCCACAGCAATCACTTGTTGTTGTTCATTTGTTCAGTCGTCTCCGACTCTTCGTGACCTCATGGACCAGCCCACGCCAGAGCTCCCTGTCGGCCGTCACCACCCCCAGCTCCTTCAAGGTCAGTCCAGTCACTTCAAGGATGCCATCCATCCATCTTGCCCTTGGTCGGCCCCTCTTCCTTTTACCTTCCACTTTCCACAACATAATTGTCTTCTCTAGGCTTTCCTTTCTCCTCATGATGTGGCCAAAGTACTTCAACTTTGTCTCTAGTATCCTTCCCTCCAGTGAGCAGTCGGGCTTTCTTTCCTGGAGGATGGACTGGTTGGATCTTCTCGCAGTCCAAGGCACTCTCAGCAATTTCCTCCAACACCACAGCTCAAAAGCATCGATCTTCCTTCGCTCAGCCTTCCCTAAGGTCCA